ATAATAGAAGGGTATGCTAATTAGTCCTGGTATGCTAATTAGTCACAAGTATGCAAAATGACCATCACTCCACACAAGATGGCCACCCCCATGTGGTCTAAGATGGCTGCCACAAGATGGCCTGTAGGGGAGGACCGTTGTGGGGGACCATGCCTGCAGGGGAGGGCAGTTAGGGGCGACCGGGCCTGCAGGAGAGGGCAGTTGGGGGCAATCGGGCTGGCAGGGGAGTGGTTAGGGGGTGATCAGGCTGGCAGGCAGAAGCAGTTAAGGGCAATCAGGTAGGCAGGCAGGCGAGTGGTTGGGAGCCAGCAGTCCTGGATTGTGAGAGGGATGTCTGACTGCCCGTTTAGGCCCACAGGAATTGGGCCTAAACAGGCAGTTGGACATTCCTAGAGGGGTCCCAGATTAGAGAGGGTGCAGGCTTGGCTGAGGGACATACTCCGCCCCCCACCCCCCCGCAGTGCACAAATTTCATGCACCAGGCCTCTAGTGTGTATATATATATATAATTGATTTCAGAGAGGAAGGGAGAGGGAGAGAGGATAGAAACTTCAATGATGAGAGAGAACCATTGGTCAACTGCCTCCTGCACACCCCACACTGGGGAGTGAGTCGGCAACCAGGCCTGTGCCCTAACTGGGAATCAAACTGGTTGTTTGGTTCATGGGTTGACGTTCAACCACTGAACCATGCCAGCCGGGCTGTCTTCCACTTTTGATTGAGGTTGATGGGGAAGGTTACACATCATGTGGTGATCCACTAATCTAGCTCTTCAGCTCATAGTAGAAAAAGAATTGTGCATCAGGACTTCCAACTCTTGAGGTGGTTTTACCATCCTGCTCTGCTTCTGGGTTTTTACTGTTGCCTTTTGTGAGCAGTACTTTCCCCTGAGGACACATGTTAATAATCTGGAACCTTCCCTATCAGTGGGCTAGCACCATCTTGATGGTCCTGTGTTCTGCTTCTACCTTGCTAATTGTTTCCTTGGGATTATTTGGATTGTGTAGAAAGGTTTTTGCAAATCCTCTTATTACTGAAGTCATTGTTGCCAGCAGGAATAAGATTAAAGGTGCTTAAGTCTGTGGAGTTGTTTCTAATTTGTACGTGTCATTTCAGTGGCATTTTAACAGAACTCTGTCTCCTGTCCCTCCCTTCTCCCCTGGCACTATCTCAAGTTAGGTCCGAGAAGCCAGGCCATTGGAAGAAATCTCATTTTATCCTCCTAATTATTATGCTGGCACTCAGGAGATAATTTTTCCCTTCACGCACTGCCAATTAATATGCAAATGAACTGATAAATATTTATGCAATGATTTAAATTATGCAGGGAGGGCTCTCAGTGTATTCTGTAAATGAATTGTTCATGGACTTCAAAGTGCTGGCTGCTGTGCTAACGAGGAGAGATTTGCATAAGGCCCTAATCACCCGCATACTGATTAAGCTTCATTATGGAAACTGCCAGCTGCAATCTTTGTTTCTATTTTATTACAAAAAGGGGAACTTTTCATGCTTCAGTTGCCTTGACAATGTCAGTCCTAGCTGATAGGAGAGACTAAAACTCCTCTGAGCAACTGAAGTTTCCTTATTCAGTTGAAGATGGCTATGGTGTAACTGAAGTTGTAGTCTGCTTCTCCCCCAGTCCACTTTCCACCTCCCACTCTAGTTCCCTTAGTTTTGTCAGAAATAGTAGTACCTTCTGACCCCACCCAATCCGTTACCTGTTTCTTTGCTGTGGACTGTGAACCTAGAAGATTTCACAGCAATGCTGGACTGCAGTGACTTTGTTCTAGGTGGGTACCAGCACAGCTCTTTCTTATAGCTTTACTATGGAAATAGCGGGAGTGGGGTTGGCTATGCAGAAATGCTTAATCACTTATACAACCGGCTGGGGGAGAGGAGAGACCAGTGGAACAGGGAAGGGGGGGAAGCATTTGCAAAGCACCAGTACTTGAATTTGCTGTAGGTCCCTCCCTACTTCTAGCTCTTCTGGTTCAGAGGAGACTTTCAGTAAATATTGTGGATTTAGAGTTCAACTTGAATGGAGGGCATTTTTGCTTTTTTAAAAAATTTTCTATTGAGAGCATGTCATGTAGTTCTAAAAACACTCTGGATCAGAAACAAGGTCTGAAGTGTACCTAAATAATATGTATGTTAATAAAAATGTTTTGCATACTTAGTTGAAATGTCTTGTAAAAAACAAAAGTACTTAGTGCAAACCAGGTGGAGCCACAGTGCAGAGTTGCTCCCAAGAGGACAGATTGGGTGACTGCCCTGGTTACTGCAGTTGGGCTGTGGGTCAATTTCCAGATTTTAGAAACTGAACTTTCCAAATTTTGACAATATTAGCCTTTTTATTTTAAAAAATTTAGCTTCTCTTCTTCACAAAACAGTCTTAAATATTAGAAAGCCTATTTTTAGAGTTTTGTGTTTTTTTTTAGATTTTTATAGTTATCCCTATAGAGCTACAAGCCTTTGGAGAGGGGCTTTCTGGCTTGAATATATAAATTATGTCTTTGGTAACTATGATTTAAAAGAGATGGAGTCTTTTTGGTTTTTAGACATACTGTGGATGCTCGTGGTGGCCATACTTTGTGTTGAGCTTTGTCTGCTTGTGTGCAAAATTGTGGAAACCTCTTTGGGTTATTCTGGTCACCTGGAGAGTCAGATGACGGGAACTCCAGGACTCATTTATCTTACAAATCTTTGCAAATGATTTCTTTTTCCTGTTTGCTATTTTTCCCATTTGAAAAAGCCAGGCTGTCCCCATTACCTTCACAGTTGCCAGGGTTAGAATAAAATGATAGTTCTGAAAATGTTTGAACTCGTAGGTAGACAGAAGGCTTGGCCTAAACCCAGGGTAGTAGTGATGTCTGCACAGACCGTAAAAGCCACTGTTAACCATGTGAATGGCTGAACCAGCAAACCGATGTCAAGAATTCATCAAGAGCAACTTGCAGAGTGTGTATTAGACTCATTATACAGTCAGCTCAGGGTGCCCAGGGGGGAGCACTCCAAATATCAAAAAGGAAATTACTTATTTCAGCTTATATTTACTAAGTTGGGAATTCAAGAAAGGAAAGGAAAATATCTTTTTGAAATATTTTTAGCATTATATTTTAGAATAAGAAATTATATCTATTTTTAGTTAATAAATATTTAAACAGTCTTCCCATAGTTGTACTGTTAATCAGAATTTTTATTTATTATTTTGTGCATGAAGTAATTTGTTAAATGTCTTTGAAGTTCCTGACAATTCAATAGAAAATCCTTAGAAAATTCACATAGAGTACCTGTGACATAATCTTTAATTTATGGATGGGAAAATTAGGATATGACTTGTATAAGGTTGAGCTCATGACTTGTTAAGAGTTATGCCTTCTTTGTTGTTATGATAGGTAGAAAATTATCTTTTTAAAATGAATGTTAACTGATGCATTATTTTCCCCACTTCCTTTTAAAATATGGTCTAAAGGAACCATTCAGCAGTGTGTATGCTTAATGGCATATTCTATTACATTTGTTGTGATCTTTGTTGGCTTTCATAAGATTTTTGTTAAGTCATTCAGAAAGCTGGTGTTCACTGAGTTGTACACCTGTTTCTTTCAAACCTTAGCGTGCTTTCGGATGACATTTACATTTTTCTGGGCAGTGGGGGAAAGGAAGTTGTAGAACAACCCTTATTTATGACCAGAGACATAAGAATCTGAGCCCTTTGAACTTTTGAAAAACAAACCAAAGACATAAAGACCTGCATAAGCACATAAGACAGGCATGTGTTTAAAAAACTGTTAGAATGGCTGGTCCCCAGCTTCTGGGTTGGAAGTGAAATGTATGAAGCTCTCTCATCCTTGTGCATGTACATAATACCACTGTGGCTACGTGGTTGGGACTCTAGTGATCTGTTTGATTTCCTATTTAAATATTTAAGCATATGACAAAATGGACTCTCTGGTAAAAAAAAAAAAATCAAATATAATATAGTTAAATTGTTTATTCTCTACTAACCAGTAGTTAAATGTCCTTAACCTGGTGGGGAAAAGGCAGAGCTTGCTTGATAGTAAACTTGTTGGATTTATAAATACCCTAAGTTTGAGTTTGTAGAAGTAGAATAAGGTCTGTATTTAATTTAATGTATATTTAGTTTTCACACTTCTGAAGAAGTCGAAGAAAAGCAGACTTGATCTTGTCCCATCTGTTGCATGTCTTCTGGGAAACCTAACATTGCTCGATGAAAACTTTTCACTGTGACATCTTCATTAAAAAGATAACCTAAAGATCTGAGGCACAGAAGTGGGTTCATTTGGGGGTATCAAGGCAGCATAATTCGTAAGTGGGTGTGGTTGTATGTGGTGGTGAGTCAGTCTTGACATTATTAGATGTATCTATTTTGCCTGTGGTAACTCCTTGTACTGGTTTATGATTGAGGTGTGAACTCAAATATCACTTTGACAAATGCTTAGTTTCTTGGGGGAGGGAGTAAATTTGGAGATATTTTTTTAGATATGCCGTATTACCATTCTTTTGAGTTACTGTCCAGTCTGTTGTCAAGATTATCAGTGGATTGTTTGGTCATAATTAACAAATATCTCTGCTTATGGGAAAAGAAATTTTATTGGCCACTAACATGTTTTACTTGGTGAGGTGCTTCCCCAGCTTTGTTTCTTTAACATTTTATGCTTCATATTACAAAGCAGTTACACCTTTTACATATCAGATCTATTGTTACTTTTTAGGTTAGATTTCTGCTATCTTTCTTAGAACAATCTTAAAGTTTATTAGAAAGACTCCTTATTTGTGGATCACTTCAAGGTTGATGGAATCTTGAATTTTTTCAGTTAAACTTTTATTGCAATTTCCAACATTTTAGCATTGACTCAGTCTCTTTGAACTACAGGGCTGTGACATTAGTCAATATTCTTAACCTTTCCCTCTGCCACAATTTTGTCCCCCTAACTGCATCCCCAATTTTTTAAACTTCATTCACCTCTGATTTATTGCAGACTCGAGAATGAACAACCCGCCAGAAAACGGTAAATCGTCCGTGGAGAGTGGAGACAGCAGCACAGGTAAGAAACCCTCTGGGACTGAGCTTTTTCATTCAACTTAGTAGAGATAAAAGAGGAGGTTTTCCATTTAACCGGGACTCATATGGGCAAATGAAGACTGATTTGAGTGTTGAGCCATCACATGTAATTTAGTACCTGCAGAAACAGGGGTGTGTTTGCTTCAGATACCCGACTTCTCCTGCAGTTGGCTTGTCTTTTTGCTGCCGTTTGTCTGAGAAGCTTCAGAACAGCTCAGAGCATTGTCCTTTGGGCCCTGTAGTTCTGGGTATGAATTATGGATGTGCCACTTACTAGCTTTGTGATGTCAGGCAGTTTCCCTCATCGTTTTGAGACCCAACCAAAAAGAGGGATAATATATTTCAGAGGTCATTGTGAACACTAAAGAGGAAGTGTTAAGCACAGTGCAAGCCACACACTCAGTACAAAGTTGCTCTTGTTACAGGTGTTAACAACATAATAAATTTTACCCACCCACATTCAATAGAAACTATGTTAAAGTTATGATAGTGTCTGAACATAGTTAAAAACACACACCTGTTCTTAGTACATCCTTTTATTTGGTGATTTAAAAAAAATTACACTCGGTTAAACCTCTATCAGGAGAAAATCTATATATATAAAAGTGAAGTGACAGGAATGACTGGTCGCTATGATGCGCACTGCAGCT